GCCAGATATGTGATGATCGTCCGCTAAGGAACAGTGGTCCAACTGCAAACGCATCGGAGTTGATGCGTTCAACCCAAAAATATGAATCAAATTACAGTAACATAGCTATGGCTTGGCCATGGCCCATTGACAAAAATATATCAGTTCCATTTATTTACCAATGAAACATGCTGATTTTCTATATACCCTCTGGTAAACTAACATAACTATGAAAAATTGCCCATAGAAATAGATGGTTTACCTGGGTTTACCTATTAAAAATGGTGATTTTCCATGGCCATGTTAGTCATAACCAGATGGTATATATATATATATAGTGATCCAAAAATAGATAGAAAAGTTACAACATATATATATATATATATCTTCTTTTGGAACACTATATATCTCTCTTTCTTAGCTTCCCCCATCCCAAAGCTCGGGCGCCTATCTCAACTTCATCGACCTCCAAAGCTCGGGCGATCTCCTTCCGGACCAGTTGGATGGGCTGAACACCCAGCACATGGAGCGAAAATCCAGCGGATGATCATCAAATAAATGGCATTCTAGAATATAGGAAATAATAAATGATGGATATAGGAGATAATATGTTCTAGATATCTAATGAGATCATCAGAATATAGGAGATAATATGTTCTGATATAGATATCTAATGAATGGATATGAATGGCAGATCCTAGTTTCAAGATTTGTGTTCAGCATGCTAATCTATTCCGATGGCAATTCTAATACATATTTTTTGTTGGCTTTGTTTGAAGAGTTAGGACGAAAACTAACACTGGAGATTACATGAGATGATGATCATTTTCAAAACTGGAACACTGGCTGGGCTTTCAACCCCGTACCCAAAATATCTGGATCATCATTCCAAATAGGATGGATTATGGCAGATTGGAAAATCTTTGCCACCACCACCAGAATAGGGCCAAAGCCATGTAGGAATAGCGCCCATTTTCAGTGATAAAGATGCGAAGAAATTCCAAGCAGCAGATCCCCATGCCATCCCCATGCCATCCAAGCAATGTCTGATGTGATTCTCACTCTGGGGGTCCAGTTCCCGTTAAAAGTGAATATTTGAAGGTGTCCTAAAATATGGGTACCCCAAAGCATGGCTTTTCCATGCTTTTTCCCATTGATCTGAAGCAATGACTTGGATGATAACTTGGGGTACCCCCATTTCAGGAAACCTCTATATATACCCTCTGGTAAACTAACATAGCCATTGAAAATGGCCATTTATAGATGATTTTCCCATTAAGAATGGTGATTTTCCATAGCTATGTTAAATTACCATAATATAACCATAGCTATAGGGGCACCATCCCATATCCCGACTTCTGGAGGTTTCACCTGCGCCAGGTGCTCCCAACCCCCCCGTTGCAACGTCCTCTTCTTCTTCCTCTTCTTTGACCAATGCCTGGTCCATGGGAGGAACTCAATAGGTTTTCTTGCGGGGAAAACAACGAAGGGAACAAATCAACAAACATGTCTTGAAATGTCTTGGTCCATTTCCAAAGAACATGTCTAAAGAATTCCAAAGAAAACTCGGATGCCTGGCCCTCAAGTCTCTAGGTGGAAATTCTGGATGAATTGTTGAGCTTTTTGAGCGTCAGATCACGTTGAAACCATCATGTCAGGTGCATGGACTGAGCATCACTGAGCCACGAAAACACCATGTCAGGTGGTTGAATACACTCCTAAAATCCTCTAATCTTATTTAAAAATCCCATGTCCCATGATAAACATTGATAAACTCCGTTCAATTCACATCAATTCTATCATAAAGAGTCCTCATTTTTTCAGGTGAAAATTCACCATCGTCACCATCCGGCGCCTGCGTCACACGCGACTTCCTGGCATATGTGTACTACGTTCTCCAAAAATGGTGATATTTTGCATAGGGAAACCAATGCTGCTGGAATATCTATGGAAAAATAATGTTGAATATTTACCAATAGATACTTATATATATATATACTGTGGTCTTTTTTGTTGGATTCATGTTGGTAAATATTCCATGGAGCATATGGGAATGGTGAATTTTCGGGTAGACCAGATGATCATTGATGAACTTTTTGGGGTATATCCGAGGCAACAAGAAATTTCCACATAACATGGTACACATGTGTAATCCGTATGGCTGGGAAGGTTGCATGTATCTGGCTGAAATGTCGATATGATGGGGATATTCTGGCGACCGGAAGATTCTCCAATCAAACCAGGTTGCGGAGGGCTTCCCCAATGACTCATTTGGGCTACTTAGGTTGACATCTTGGTGAGATTCCTAAAGAAATCATCGTTTGGACATCATCCGAACGGTTCGTGGTGAAAAAAAACACATACTTAATATCTTTGCCTATGGGATCATCATCCTATGTCTCACTGATGCAAGTGGCAAAATCTGGCGATCTGGCGAAATCCAATCTGGTGCCGCCGTGAGATGCTGAACCTTGCCTGGCGTCAACCCCCAGCAACCGCTATCGAAGGGCCCCGTCCTTTGCTCCTCCGCCAAGACTGTGATGCGTTGCGCCTGGCGGCTCTGGTGGGGAATACACAAGATCGATTCAATGATGGGCCATGAAAAATGGAAGCAGCTCTCAACAGCTTCGCTGTCTTTTTCCGGCTTCTAGCCTGGGGGCGAGGTAAACATCCATCGAATCCCAGGTTGAACATCAAATGTGGATGGCTAGGATGGCTATACTCCAGGATGTCCTTAACATCCAAATTTCATATCGCATAAATTCGCATAATATCTCTTTCTTCCCTGATGAAGATGCTTGTGCAACATTGGGTGGATATGTGATTGTCCAAAAATGAGGCGCGCCCCAAAGTTGCCATATTCGATGATGATGACGATGACGATGACGATGAGGAGGATGAGGATGAGGATGAGGATGAGGATGAGGATGAGGATGAGGATGAGGATGAGGATGAGGATGAGGATGATGATGATGATGATGATGATGATGATGATGATGATGATGGTGATGGTGATGGTGATGGTGATGATGATGATGATGATGATGATGATGATGATGATGATGATTATGATTATGATTATGATTATGATTATGATGATGATGATGATGATGATGATGATGATGATGATGATGATGATGATGATGATTAACCAATCATTCGAGAATGATGTTTCAATGATTGACGCCCCAAGTTATTCAATGATGATGATTAAGCAATGGATTTAGGCCCTTTTTTCGGGTACCAAAGCGATATCAGTCTAGTCTCCTCTAGAAATGCTAGGTGGCTGGGGCCCCCTCTGGATTGAGTAGACACATCGCAATGGCATTTCTCCAAATTGGTATACCCCTACCGTGGGGTAGGTGCAACAAAATACCCTTTGTGCATCGGTGCTGAACCGCAGATCTTCCCTACCGCAGATAGCCAAATTGTTCAGCACCGTCCCTCCACGGTACGTGGCATATCTTGGTCTGTAATGATACCATTGGAAACCATTGGAGATACCCAAGGTGAGAAAAATGATACCATTGGAAACCATTATATACCATTATTATATCATATCTATCATGATATATTAGGAAACCCTATCTTGGTATATGGAAACATACCATAACATACCATTTTTAATGGAAACCCTATAGGTTAGCCCTGGAAAGCCACATCCTCCACATCCTGGTCCACCTTCGCAGTGTCCATGGTGGAAGGACCGCATGACCGACGGACGGTTGGGAGCTGAGGGTCGATGTGGGACGATGTGGGACGATGGCCCGTTCTTTGAAAACAACCTTGGGTGGACTTGTCATATTTGAGAAATGATGTTGATATATTTGATATATCTATTATATAATATATATATATGTGTCAGATCGATGTTGAGATAATCGACGCGACTTGGACTTAGATCATTTTGGATCTCTTTTTCAGGCATCAATTCTGAAGGGCTGGCTGCTACATCTTGCAGGTTATGCTTTCATCCGCGCCCTTGCTGTGCCAGTTGGACGGTGCAAGCTGAAAGCAGTAACAGCGGCAAGTGGATAGGTTCTGCATGACTTTGGTGATACTTCCTAATATAAAGTCTGCGGCTTTCAAGCAACATCCAGTGGCTCAAAAAGGATTCCCGCAACAAAGTCTCAAATCAAAACAAACAGGGAAACACCATACAAAGTGCCCGCAGGAAGTGTTCACCGAGCAGAGCCCGGGAAACCACCTGCCAAGTCCAAAAAAATCCTCTCAAAGTAACTCAGTTACGCCCAAAATGTTCACCTTATTCTGGGGCTATCGACCGAACATCGCTGGAAGTGATGAATTGCCTGCAACCGCCAAGCGGCGCGGAACCTGGCTGGGTGACAGTCATCTTGGAAGCTGGATCAAGATGTGCTTCATGGGCTTAATGTACGGTTAATATACATAGATATAGATATAGATGTAGACATAGATATCGATATAATACAGAGATATATGTAATTATAAGATATAGATATAGATATAAATATAGATATAGATATAGATATAGATTGATATAGATATAGATAGATATAGATAGATATAGATAGATAGGCTGTATAGGCTATATAGGCGGTATAGGTTATGTAGGGTGGTTTGAACCAAATTTGATGTTTGTTTGGAAAAGGTAGGAGTTCAACAAAAAGTTGAAAATTCACCGCACAAAGTTGAAATGTCAACAGCCAAAATGATTCGACAACAAAAACATTGTAATTCAACAACCACGTAAAGAATCTTAACCCGAAAAATGATTTCAACAACAAAAATGAGACTTGGGTCAATGAAAAGTGCAGGTTTGTAGACAAAATAGTGGCGTCTATTCCCTTGAAAAAAGCACCCCAAGGGTCACTCTCCTGGATGTCTAGGATCGATCCCTATGAGAAATGACAACCACCCAGCTGACAAAATGGAAATTATTCACTGGAATTGGGATTCTAACCCACCACCCATGGTAGAGTAAGTATCCTTCTATTTTCACCATATTTTTCTTAGTGTTGCCTCCCTACCCTCGGCATTTTTTTTCTTCAGCTTCTCCTCTTCTTCCGCGGTGGTTCCTCTGTCTCCACCAGCATCAGCTGAAGCTGCAACTGCAGCCGTCGCAGGGATTTCGGCAGGAAGGTCCAGGCGATAACCCATTTGACGTTGCGTCCTGACGATGCGTGAAATATTCACCACCAATTCATGGTTATTTGAAGGTGGGGGAACTGGTAAAATGGGACTGAAGCATTTTTAGGTTGGGAAACTGATGAATTGGGACCGAAGCAACAAAATGTGGGATGGGTTCAAACAACACCCCCATTTCAGGTGACCCCACAATCTTTGGGCTTGTTGGCAACCAGCAACCATTGGGGGGTCCACTGATCGGGATGGCAAAATCGGGATAGAATACCATGAACATCGCCATTTAACATCATTTAACCAATTGATATCCCAGTTTATAGCTTCCCCACTTTTTGGTGGATGAACCAAGATTTGCGAACTTTGAACAACAAGTTCCTCCGAATATACGCGTATTTGGGATTATTTGGGAACATTTCTCAGAGTTACTTTTAAACATATATATCCCGAGATAGATTTTCCGTGTTTGGAGGTTCTCTAAAGTGGGGTCACCAATGCTGCTGTCAATTCTTTTAGGATTCGGAATCGGCAACAGTTTGGGGGTTCTCCAATTCAAAGGAAACACTCAAATATGATCGATTAACATGGATTAACCTAATTGGAAAATTTCTGTACCAAACAGACAAAAGCAAAGATGTTCAAAACCAAATTCCCAACAGCTTCCCCATCTATTCCCCATCTTTGATAACATCAAACAAGATAAAACATCATCATTACCCTTCTCGAACTACAAATTTTGGTTACCCTGGTAATTAATGATGATGGTAACCAGGATAACCCAAGATTAACATTTCATTAACCATAGCTGCTATAGCTGTGGGTTACCCTGGAGCCTGATCCTTATCAGCCCCAAGATTCATCCCAGCCCCATGGTTCCAGGATGTTCCAGGTGTGGACGAACGTCCCCCACCGTGGTTTCGGTCGCCTGTGCCCAGTTCAAAGCTTCGATGCTTGGCACCCAACTGCCGCAGCTTGTCGACCACGGGCTGCCAACTCGAATGCCTTCTCCGGGCTGAGACACATCACCCAGAAGCGAATCTCACAGAAATACGTGGCAGCTGGGAACATTGATTACATTATATTAAATTAATACAACAAGGAAGGAATAGAAAATTTGAAAAGATGAACCAGATATTATATTCGATACTGATACTGAGGATTCTCATTGACCCAAAATGGGCCTGGTTGAGTTACAGCACGGGTCAGCGGGTCAGCGGTCGGTGGTCTTTGTTTTGACTGAGACCAAGCAGCTTGTTGTGACTCAATCCAATTGCTACAAGGGAAAGTCTACTGGGAAACCATAAACTATGTTCAATATTTCACATCATGTTTATATAGTCACTGGTTTTCTGAACTAAACATTGGAGAACCTGTAGGAAATAGTACATGTTTTTTAGGTTTCACATCATAAAAAAGCTCATTATCATAGACATTCCACAGGAAACCCGAGGATTTACCATGCTTTGTAGACATCAAGCTATATGTTCTGAGCTCATCGCCTGGACAGCAGGCTGGAGAACCAAACGCATTTGCTTCGGTAGCACACCTGAGGAAGGTCCCGGACACGGGGCGTCCAGTTAGATCAAGTCCGATCGGCCCGTGGCAGTTCAAATCGAACTAAGGGTTTTCCTAGGAAAATGGTCTACTTATGTCTACTTAAATGATGGTTTCCCAGATCTATGTCAGTTTTTGGAGGGTAATTCAGCCTTCCAAAATGGGCTTTCAAAAAGTAGGACAACCAACCGCCGCAAGCGGCCAGTCTCAAGTTGTTGGCATCGGTCAAGTCGTTTGGGGACGAAGGTCCGAAAATGCATTCAGTTCATGATCATATTGACATTAGATTGACCGATATTCTTAGATATTATATATAATATATATAGCATAATTCACCAGCCTGATTTTTTTGGGATCATTTTGGGATAGTTACCCTTATCAACCGTGATTTATTGTCACAGTGATGTCGTTGTATATAATTCACCCAGATCATCCAACAATGATATCACAATGTTGGCTGGTGAACCACGCCAAATTATCCAGAATCAGATGATGTCCTATTACTGTACATCCTCATCATCCTCATACCACCATTCTTCTTGGTTGAATTATCACATCACAGAGTCCATAACATGGATATATTTCATTCATATATCCCAATGATATCCCTGTAAATCCCCATTATTCGTTGCTTAAACCCATTTTGGCTGGTTAAATCCCATTAAACCAGCTATAAATCACCCGTTTTCCTATGGTTTCGTTGGCCCGGGCGCCTGGAAATTTACCTAGACCTGGCATCACTGGGACCTCTCACCTTCGCGCTCTCCTCTGCAAAGCGCTGGACAAAGCCAACCTCCCCTCCCTCGCAGCAGAGCTCCAGCTCTCGCCCCTGGCGGTGACCCATTTTTCTTGGGATGGGATCCTTAGGTTTAGCGGTTTTTCAGCAATCAAATAACAGTGATTTTTGCTGGTGATTTGATCGGTTTTTCCACGTGGTGTCACTGTGCCTAATCTCAATGGTGATGATTTAATGGTGATTTGATAGGTTTAACGTTGTGTAATAGCCATGATTTAATGGTGATTTTAGCTTCGCCCATCTAATGGGATGCATTGGAGAGGTTTGATGTATCGGATGTATCCATTATATATGTTCCCAGTTTATCTCCACTTGAATGGCAAAAATCACACTTGGTAGTTAAGTGGGTTTATAACCCTAGTGGCCCTAGTAGGATTTTTAACAGTTTGATCCAGTTACAACTGGGATGAAGCACCCAGTAATGATGGGAATTCATGGGGGATTTCACGATGGGAATTTCACCAGCAATAGTGGGTACAATGTAAGCTTACATAGTCCGAGAAAAGTGGACGGGCATGGACGGGCCCCCATGAATTGTGGCATTTCAATAAGAAAAATGGTGGTTTTTTTGCATGGGATAATCCAGTTATTGATGAAAATTCAGCAGCAAAAAATTGAAGTTCAACAGCAAAACTATTGGATGTTCCATAATCAGCATGGAAATTGAACAATAGTGCTTAGTGGCTCACCCCAAGTAAGTGGCTTCTAACCCCAGTTCTAACTGGACGACGCCTGCTCGCCCTACTAACTGGGTGAACGATCAGTTTCGACGTCTCGTTGGATTGACCCTACTGGTTGAAAAGACTTCAGAACATCACAATTCCTATGAGACCAAATAGTTAAATATAGTTAAACATAGTTAAATATAGTTAAATATAGTTAAATATAGTTAAATAGTACAAGCAGTCATCAAGTATGATGTTGAAGAATCACTTTGGTTTCCGGTATGGTGATGAGTCACAACCCCGTACCTCTGCTGAACATCAAGAATGGTGGCAGAAGTTCACCCCCGCAAAATATTGTATACATAGGTTTTAACATGTTTTAATCCATCCCCGCCATCCCCAAGTTGACTCATGATGCCATTAAGAAACAAGTTGGATACACTTAGTACAAGATGGTACAAGTACAACCCTGATTCAGTCCCAACCAACGCAAGGATTCGGGCGAATGGAATTGGCTGCCTGGTAGTTCTTGCTCTCCAACCTGAGGCCCAATTGTGAAACCGTAAGGCCGACCACAAGTCATTCGGTGACTATCATGGGGTCAGTTGAACCGGAAAGTCCTAGTTAGACAAGTTAAACCAACATCAAACATATTATATAATTACATATTGTTACATATTCAAAAAACATTTAAGCAATGAGATATGGAAATTTCAACATCAAACGTCCAAGTTTAAATATCAAACAATCAAGGTTTGAAGATTCTAAGCATGTAAAAACCACCAAGCATCATCAAATTGCGACTGAGCAACTCCTTTCCCAACCTCTGCCACTTGCTCCTTGCCGCTTGCTGTGCTTGTTCCAAGGATTCGTGGAAGGGCGGGTTGCACACAGCGAAGGCAACCGACTGAGAAACCTGCGCCAGGCATCAAATTAGATGAGCAGCCAGGATGCTTTCAGAATTTGCTAATCAAAGGCAAAGTCCATAGATCACACACCTGTAACTGTATCATTTGGGATTATATATTATCTATATATATATAATTATATATATAATTATATATATATAATTATATATATATATACTTCGCAAAAAAAAAAAAAAAAACGATTACTGATTAGTTGGTGTTTTTTACAGCATATCCTAAAATTAACCGCCGAACCATGTGTTGGTCAGCCTCGGGCGGCTCCAGCATACAGCGGTCCTAAGTTTGTTGCCTTCGGTACAAAAGAAAACCAGGGAAACCATTGGTTTTCATGGGTTTTCCATATGGCAGTGTGTCAAGACCTGGTACCCCTGGTGAACATCAAAATAGTTGGTAAATGGATGTTCATTCCCCTAAAAATGGTATCTATAGGTATTGACCCATACCCATATTCATGGCAACTGAACATTTTATAGAACTGGTGTTTTTTATGCGGAAAATCATTGAACAAAAGAGTCACGTTTTAGAGGCATTTTCCAGCATTTTCCATGTTTGAATACCGGAGTTTAGTCCCCATTCCCATGATCCACGAACAGCCACCTTCTTCGGCATGACACCACGGAGGACCCGTTTTGGATCCTCTTGGCGCCCTTAGTGCTGGTGGCATCTGTGAGGTCTGGAGCTGGAAGGAAGACTTCCCATCACGACCAACAAACATATAAGGGCGACTCCAACAACCGACAACAACAACAACAACAACCATCTACGATTGGGGGTCACCAACCAACATGAACAATCTGCTAGTCAGCTAGTCAGGGTCTACTGCCTAGAAAAAACAATTTTATTCGGCGTATATAAATCCCCAATCAGGGATGCTCCCAACTGGGTAGATAAGCAGGTAGAATGACTAGTTCCCTCCCTTGTGGCTATCCTTTACCTATCATGGATTGGACAATCCTGCCAGTTCTTCATGTTTTTGTCAGAAAACGAAAACATTGGTGATTTATATAGATATACAACTATACAGATATGCATAGTTTGAAATATATATATATAGATAGATATTGGTGTTTTAAACCTCAAGTTTCCGATCCCCCAAAGTCACCACCTCTCCCCAAAAAAAAACGCCGCATGACGTAGCGTGATCTGCTTCTCCAGGCCGTTCTCCGCCACCAGCTGCGCGGCGTGCTGCAGCGCCACAGCGTCGATGTCGCTGGCAATGAAGCGCCAGGCGTATTCCCGGGCGCCCAACAAACTGTAGATGCAGCTGGCACCTGGAGTAGATATATCTATAGATATTACATAAGGAAACATTTCTCATGATATTATCAGGAGACATCTATATTTTACATATATTAGCATCCGTAAAAATCATGAAACATATGATTTGATATCAGGATACATTATAGATATGTTTCATATAGATGTGTAGACATGTATAATACGTATGATATTGTATAATATCTGATGATATCGAATTATTTAGGTCATTTTCAGATGTACATGTTTCATGATATCTGGTGATATATCGATTATAAGAGATAATATAGACGAGATATGTTAAAATACTCATGTATATGTTATATATTGTATATATAGTAGTCATCGTGTTTATTATGCTGAATTTATATTCATACAATAGATAATTACATCCCGGCGGACTGGAAACCGTGCTCGTAAAAACAACGTTTTCCAAAATTGTCATTTTAGCCATAGTCGACATTTCTGGAAGCCGAATTGTGCCAAATTCTCGCGCGAGAATTTGGCAAAATTCGCGTTTCGTGTGGGTTTTGGATTCATTTCATTGAAGCATATTGACAGGCTGTTTCTTTCTTTTCAAAGCAGGGGCTTCAGCCTTGCAATTGTTTTTTTGCTGGAGATGGGTATGCAGATTCACATATCTCCACTGCCAGCACTTCACATAGAGGAGAAGATCTTTGCTCTTTGTTACCATGCCCACCCCACCCCACCCCTTCATGTATACAGCGAAGCAACACTACCAAACATCTGTGCAGCGTAGCAACATGTAGCGGAAGAAGTACAAGGAACGTTAACATGGCCCCCCCCCCCCCGCCCCGCCCCTTCATGACCTGCGAACACACGCTAGCAAAAACGCGCGTTTTACGGAAGAGAGAGAGAGAGAGAGAAAAGTATGCTTGGATGGTCATCTGTTGGACTTCAGGCGGGTCCAATGGTGGATTCACTGGTTGACTCCCAAGACGTGACCTTGGGCGAAAATTGGGGACGCTACCACCATGTACCACCTAAGATTAGATGCTGAAACACTGAAGACTGTGAAAAGCTGGGTTTCCCTGGGCCTTTTGACCTATACTACCAAGTTTCCGCCTATTATGATACATGTTGTTTCACTGCCTGCCTGGTGGTCGAAATCGGACCCACTCGTAGTCATCCCAAAACCACCAGAAAAATACCACCATTGATATCGCCATCATCATCATCATCATCATCACCATCATCACCATCATCATCCCGATCCCAATACTTGCATGTTTGAACCCACCAAGAAATAATTTGGATCAGCCTCGTTGCAATACATATGTGTATATATATTATACACATATTATTTAAGACATATTCACCTTGCAACCTTTTGCATCCTTTTGCACTCATCCTCCACCCCTACACCATGCCCCACGGTTAGGTTCGACAAGTTGGTTCAGATTCGTCAATTAACTAGGGGGGTGTGGCAGACATATTGGACTGGTCAATTGGCTTTATGAACCAACTTCTAAGCGGCACCACAGGCGGCACCTGTTCCTATGTCCAGGCCGCACAGGCCCTGGGGTATTTGCGTTTCTTGCTTGCCCTCTGGGCCCTCTGGGTCCTCTGGGCCTTCCGTCCCTTCAGCCGGCTTCAGGGTATCCCTCAACAAATCGGCCATGATGTGCAGGTAGTCCACACGTTGAGGCACCGGTGGACATAAGTAGCCTCACCAGGCGTTGCCCCATGGCCATTGAAAAATGATGATGTATACCCCGAAAAGATGGAAAAGCAAATCCCTACTAGAATATTGATAATTGATAGTTGACTGGAATATTGATAGTTGACCCCAATTACTAGTCTACTATCAAATATTGGTAATTCACTTGTCTATTTTGATAGTTGACTGGATTTCAAAGTGCCCCATGTTCGCAAACGAACCAGGTCTAGGTGGGACAGATGTCCCAACTGGTTCTCAGGGGTCAAGTCAATGAGCAGCTATGTAAGCTATGGATGAACATGGTACATTTGTAAAGGTGATGTCCCCATGTCCCTATTAGAAATGGTGATGTGGTGATCTTCAATAAGCAAATTGTGACCAGAGGCTACCTCATATAGACATTGGATTATCAACACTGATATACTGATTCCCAATGGTTTTTCCGACTTTCACCCATCCCCATCTTGGCGGGGGAACTGGCAGGTGCCCCAAGCACAACCATCCCAAAGTCGAAAAACTTGAGGCAAACATCTCCATCTCCATCCCGTAAAAAGTCAACAACATAATACGAAATCGTCATCAGATGCCGAGGCTCCTGCAGGAAGGTTCCAGTGTTGAATCTGGTAGAATTCTGCCAGCAAACTCCGTGTCAATTCCTCCAAGGCTTCGGGGTCTGAGTAGTCAATAGAAGCTCCACCCCACTGATTCTCGTAGACGAAGCGACGGAGCCCTTTCTGTTTCCTGAAAAAAAGGAGGTGAGACAGGTATCATTTTTAGAAGTGGTTGAATGGTTGAAGGATGTTGAAGGGAAATAAAGATAATTAAGCAATACCGCTATACATACATAGTATATATGTATATATTAACAGTTTATATCTCTATGTATGTATAATTGGATGATATCAAAGTTGCGGCTGGCTTGTTTTTTCCCAAACAAAAAAGGATCGCCCTGCGGGAAGACCACAGAAACTATGGATGTACAATGTACCCTGGGTAGCTTCCAGTCATGTCCAAGGGAAACAACCATGGATTTCCAGAGATTATGCTAGGAGGGTGCTCCGGTTTCTCTTTAGTCTCAAGCCGGATATGTCTTTTTTCAAAATCCTCATGAACGAAGGAGTGTTTTGACCCGACATTTGCTTTGATCCCCATCGGCCAACAGTAGTGTTTTGTAAACATTGTTTGAATCTTCCCCTCCCCAGTCATAGAGGTTATGATTATGACCTAACCGGCATAACCGGCACAACCGGCATAACCCCTAGAGATTTTCGATGATGGCCATATCATGACCCCCATGGTTGGTTTATGGGATGGTGACTACGGCATTCCAAGGCGCTTGGCGAGGTCGCGGTAGTCCAAATACTCCCGATGCTTGTTCCGCGGGTGCATGGCGAAGAGGAGCGAAAAATTTCGAAATGTCGTAACATGAATATCATATGATGTAGTATTATTTCATTCGGTATGTATGCATTTATGTACTAAAGGCGTGTATATATATATATATACATATTATATGTGTATGTATTATGTATTCATGATATATTATACAAGTATAAGATATGACTTCATCAAGTGGCCATCTCCTAGGACTGAGTGCACTTTCGCAAAAGTCACAGATCCCGGGTGGACTACAAAGCGAAACGTCCTGGGCCGCGCTAAGCAAAGTTTACCATCATGCCAATCTTGGATACTCGGCAAAAGATACATGAGGTTTAGCTGCAAAGTATAATATATATATATAGATACATGTATACATAATATATATATATATATACATAATTAATATATATATATATACATACACACCCTCTGGTAAGCTGTCCCATGACTATGGAAAATCACTATTTTCGATAAATCAACTATTTCTGTGGCCATGTTCAATAGCTATGTTAGTTTACCAGAGGGTACATACATCCTGATAAGACGAATCAAAGGAGAAGGGCCAAGGTCGACCCAGGTGGGGAGCAGCACCGGGAGCACTGATCGATTTATTAAATGTGAGTATTCCCACACCATGATTTTGTGGTGAGACAAACATAAAATATGATAAAATCAAGAATCAAGTAGAGGACTCCTGGAAAAACTTCAGGTGTGGCTAAATTCTTTCAGACAAAATATCTAAATAATTCATATAATAATTCGCTCATCAACATTACGGTAAGGCCACCTTACCTTAACCCAAATGAACACGCTTTTTAAAATCTGGCCAGATCGCTGATCCATCCCTAGAATAACGGAGAGCTCCCGGCGGGTTTCCTTCGGAAACGGGAGCCAACGCGTCATGGAGATAGATACTTTCAAAAGGCGAAACGCCAAGGTTTCGCAAGCAGAGTCGGACTGTTGTTGAACAGACCTCGGGTGCCTCGTTTTGAAAGATTTATATGTAGCTTTCACTATGTATGTAAATTGTATAACTGTGCATCTATATGTGTATATCTGTATGAATACAACCATTTTTTTCATATTCTATCATTTTCACAAGGTATCAATTAGGATTAATGATTGATTAATGCTTACTAAGATAAGGTTTCATGATTCAAATCTTACTAAGATGACCTTTCTCGCCGCTAGGGTGGCCGGCTTCAGCCATTCTTGTACTTGGCCAAGGCCACTAACTTGGCTGGCCTCGGTGCCCGGGGGAGTCCGTCCGAGGCAAGCCGTCACAAGCGACGAAAAAAACGGTCCATTAGTAACGGTAAATAATGGTTGGTATAACCAGAAAATTGTATATAACCATATAATCTTACTTATATATATATATATGGGGTAAATCATGGTCATAAAATAATTAATCATTCAGAAACCGGAAATAATACCATTTGGGGATAGCTACTGGTAGCTATCCCTAACAATCACCCTAGCGACATCGCGGTGCCGTTTGAAGCCACAAAAATTGGTCTTGATCATCCCAGATTGGCAAAGATATCGCAGCTATTTCAAATTGCCAATTGAGGACATCTCATTTTTCTTGTAGAAACTTTATTGCAGAATCAGTACAGTTATGGCCATTTATCAGTTATAAGTACTAAGTCACCCCATTTATAGAATGTATAATCCCATTTATAACCAGTTATAACTGGTAAATGGCCATAACTGTAGAATCCCTCACTTTGGGTGCAGTCTCCACGTTGGCCAAATCCTGGCCTTGGTCACCCAATCATGGCCAAATTTGACAAAACCGAGTGGCAGCTCGTACTTCTCCGCACTGGTGTTTGAGAAGGGATCTTGAGTATAATTCGACTTGGCCTCACGGCGCGGGAACTATCTCCAGTATTAGCTCCACATCTGAAAACTCGACAATCCAATGCTTGAAAATGGGGCGAAGCTAAATCCAATGGTTTGAAATTGGCAAACCACTTGGGGTATCAATCATACCATAATTGGATATGATAACTATATGAATCCAATGGTTTAATCCATTTTTAGACACTGAAATAGATCCCCCCATCTGTTCCAATAAAATGAAGGACATTGGAGCGGTGAAGAAAAAGTGTCTTCGAAAGGAAACAAACAGGTGGGATGTAAGAATGCAATGCAAATAGTCATCATACATCACATATATCTCATATATCCCCCCAAAAGTATCCAAAGTTGGGCATAGAAAACCAAAAATCATGTTTTTTTCCGTTGTAGTCCAACAAATTGTTATATTCTTGTTCAGGCCTGTCAGAGGAGGTGCCAGGTGACCTTCAACCCCAATTCTTCACTTTGTCTGGAGATGTTTTTCTTTCACAATTCACTCGCCTAAATCATGATAGTCATGGTGAAATGTCTGATATAGTTGTTTCCTAGGAAAACATCGTAAAACGGAGAGATCTTTTTACACTTCATTCACCTAGATCATGGAGACATATCCCAATTGTATCCAATCGTTTTTTAGCAAAAGCAACAAAGGCAACAAACCTAATGGTCTTAGTGTTTATTCCGTGCTTATTTTCTGTTATTTGGTAGTTGTTATTTATTAAATAACATACCCTCTAGTAAAGTAACATAGACCCTGCCATGAGTTGGAGTTGGAAGATTAAATTCCACTAAGAAGATGTTATTTTCAGGGTCGGTTTATTTTCCACTAGAAATTGGTGATTTTCCACTACAGATTAGTTATGTTCCACTACAAATTGGTGAATTCACCAGATGCTAATGCTTGCTGTTTTCCCTGGCTCTCCACTTTCCCCACGAAGAATTTTAAGCGTCGACAAAAGCGCCTCGCTCTTCCAGGTGTTAGACTTGGCACCGGCGGCCTTGGAACTGGAGGGATATTGTTGGGATGTCCATCTGTCCATCCCATGAAATAGGAACATGTTGGGATATATAACTGGTTGGTGGTGCAATAACCATGTTTTAACCATAGAAATAGTGGATTTACATTGATAGCATGGTGATTTGCCCATTGGATAATGGATAATAAGGTGAATAACTGGTTGCTGGAGCAATGTGCCCATCTTGAAAAATGATGGAGTTCGTCAATTGGGAAGGATGACATCCCATATATTGTGGAAAAATAAAAGCCATGTTCCAAACCACGAACCAGATAATATATATATATATTATGACATATAGGGATGGTAACCTCGGGATTTATGATGAAGCTGATCCTAAATGTAAAATTGCTATAATAATTGTATTTTTTTAGGGATTTACAGTGTAATAAGTTTGGAAAACCCTGGGATTTATAGAGGGTAAAAGGTATATAATTGGGATAGTAATTGACAATAACTGGGATAGAATCCCCTTTTGATGTAATGGGATGCTATTTCCAGCACGCCACGTTTGATTAACGGAAGGAAACATAAAGATTATAAACGGTGGTTTTAGTGGCAGATCATCATGATTTATCTGATGATTATAAATGGTGGTTTTCATCATGGTACATAATTGTTCAATATGATATGAATAACCTCCTGTAATAATGGAGGTCTAACCAAGGCAGGTTCTGTGGGATTCACGGATGGTCCAAAACCATATGGTCCGTGGTTGGAGATCCGTTCGGAAAGATCTACACATAATTAGTGGATGAAGTTCTACACATGGTGGAGATTCTGTTCGTGATTTTTGCATAATCTCCCTTAGTTCAAATGGGTAAATGAAGTGAAATGGGGGGTTGACCATCAGATTCTTTTGTTACACACCCCATTTTATTGCCTCCTTTCTGCCGTCACAAGGTTGGTGAAATGGCGTATTGCGATATCATCCGACCAGAAAAGGAAAAACCTATCTATCTACTGTATATATATATGATTATATATATATGATTATATATATATGATTATATATATATGATTATATGTTAATATATATATATATATGTGGGTTTTATTATTATCTATAATATGTATGTTGTGTATGTAATGTAATGTAATCGAAATGTAAATGTAAATGTACATGTAAATGTAATGTAATGTAGTTGTAATTGTAAATGCAATGTATGTATGTATGTATGTATGTATGGATGGATGGATGGATGTATGGATGGATGGATGGATGTATGTATGTATGGATGGATGGATGTATGTATCTACATATATATGATATGTATATGTACATCAACAACCATAATCATAACAACCATCTGTTTTGAATGTCACCAAGCCACAAAGGTGGCCTTGGCCTCACCCTCGCCCGTCAAGACCGTGGCCAAGGCGTGCAAGTTGCCCTGCGATGATGTACCGATTTGTGGGCAATTTATGGGAGCAATATATATATATATATATGATGGTTGTAGATTGATATAGATTGATATAGATTGATGTATGGTGATATAGATATAGATTGATATAGACATAGAGTTGTAGATATATGATTCTTATAGATGGTTATCTAGATATAACTATATATATACATACGTATATATATATATATGCATGTCTACAAATAATCCCAATAATAAGTTACAAAGTCACTGGATATTACCAGCGAATATTACTGCGATTTTGGAATGCATTTACCAAATTTACAGTACCGCTAAAGGGTGAATATACCCACCGTTGTGGCATCAAAATCCCATGGAATCCATGGGTTCTCACCAGCTGGTTGAGCTGGATGTCTATTCCCCAAATTGCATTTAAAGGTAGAGATCCATAGCCACAAGGGCTTGGTCTAAAGGGAAAACAATACGGTTGAAACCTGCAGCTTTTTGCTGTCAACTTGTCCATCAATTCTTGGAATGTGGGGAGAAGGAGACCTAATTTTACAATTCTATCTCGAGTAGTTGGAGAATCACTGGTGTCAACAATACATGAACTTGATATAGCTTGATATAGCTTGATATAGCTTGATATAGCTTGATATAGCTTGATATAGCTTCAAGATATATATATATATACTAATATATACTTGTTTTTTTTTCGTTGTTTGGTGTTAGAACATGTTAGATCTTCATATAACTTGATGGCTTTGGGTCAAGTTCGACAAGCACAGCCTCGGCTGGTCACCTTGCAGGAAACCCGTTGCGGATGTGTCGCGTCACCTGTAAGGGGCCGAAGTCCTTCTGCATGTAAGAGCCATCTTTATTCTGCTCCTGCAATGTTTGGCGAGAAACTATCTACTTATCAAGTGTCTAACTAATTGCTGGGCTATATGTCCAATTACAAATAAAGCCGTATACCATCCAAAATGATCCTGGAAAATTGCGAGCTGGAAGGAAAATGATGATCAAGCCTGGGATTTGGGGGTACCCTATTCATAGACAAACACACTGAAAGCATGGCTTTTTGATATGCTTCTGATATCAATGAACTCTTCTCTTTGAGTAGTTACACTTGATTTTATATAATCCTAATTTTGAAAAACCGTTTTACCCGAGTTGTGGGTGGCCATAACCAACGAATCATGTTGAATTTCTCCAAGAATGGGGTACATACGCCCTTAAATCCACTCATCATTCTCCCATTTTCCCCATTAAAACTGTTACTTTGGAAGGTCCGCTTACGTGAAAAAAAACACAGCCACCCCCGTCCTCCATGCTACGAGCCTTGCAGATCATGGCCCAGTAGTTGACCTAAACTGCAACAGCTTGGGTCATACTTAGACCCTATGGGATAAATGTTCCCATAAATGTTGGGAATGAAATATGAAATGTTTCTGAAATGTTTGGGATACTTGTGGGATAAACAGTGTTAACCTAACAGCTTGGGTCATTTCCCAAACATGTTTTGGGTTTTCACATCTTTTCACTCCCAATTTCCAGGCAGCGGACCCCGGTTGCCCATCGCCTCGCCTGTCGATCTGCCTTGCGTTGCTCTTGTCGCAGCTCTTCGGGTCCCAATGCGACCACTTGTTGCGGCTTCAGCTCCTCATGGTGCTGGGAAGATCCCAGAACTGTTGAGGTTTTCGCTGGAAAAGTCATCCAAACTAAATGAGATGTTCCGTTGATATGTTTCATTGATCGATGTACCCTCTGGTAAACTAACGTGGCTATGGAAAATCACCATTTTTAATGGGTAAATCCACTATAAATAGCCATTTTCAATAGCTATGTTAAATTACCAGAGGGTATATCGATTTGTTTTGTTTCTTGTGAAGCATTGTTTATAGATTCATCGTCTCTATCGGAAACCATGTTTGTTGCTATATCTTACCATGGATTTTCCGGTCAACTGCTTGGATGAAATCAACCAATTCGTCCACCTCAGTCAGCAATGCCCAAAGGGGCCTATGAGTTGGATGATATTTGTTTCCATTGAGGGTTTCCACCTCAACTAATCGACCAGTTTCGCGTCGGCGTCTCCTGAGACTTTTGGTAGGACTCTCGCCCGAAGTGGAGGAAGGCATCCGAATATGTGGTTGCCTCGGCAGAGATCTGCCATCTCGAATATATGTATGTATATATATACATATACATATATATATATATATACATATACATATATATATACATATACATATATATAATATTATATATATACACACACATATGAATATAATCATCATTAGTGTTACTGCATATATTTATGTTTATCATTTGAGTGCATTGACAAACATTCCTGAATTGCTGCCAAATTCAGTGCAGAATTTTCCAGATTGATACCACATGGCTGATCTACGGCAATGCCTGGCCAAGAATTGACCCATTCCTACCATTCCCCTAGCAGTTGACTTATGTATGTTTCCAAGGTTCACCCACCATGACGTTCGTTACCTCAACCCCGATGTTTGATGGATGAAATTCCCATCGTTTCGGGTGAAATGCCGGATGTTGATGCCTTGATCTCCATGCTTGATGGTTTTTTGATGCCTTAAGTTTTTACCTGTGATAGATATATATATATATAGTAATACCATTTGATAGTACCCATATAGTAATAACCATGTTCCATATATACCTTTACTAAATACCCATTTAAGTGAAGGCTAGATGCAACCTTCACTGTCTTCACTTACCACCCGTCGGGCAAAACATGGCAAAACCAGCATAAGGTCCCAGCATAGTCGCGACGCCGATGCTTGTTTCTCACCTCCAAGGGGTATGGGGAAGAAGTGTTGCATCTTCTTTGATCCATATAGTATATATATATATTGTATATATGTATATTTATACATAAATGTCATATATTTAATTGTATCTTTGTATATATGCATATATATATATATATACATTGCATATATATATATATATATTGTATACCATACTACATAGATATGTATAGTATACCAATACTGCAGATAATGTAGATATACGTGTGTATATACACAGACATGATATGTGCATCTGCGAATACAAATAGACCGTTACCTTATCTACGTATGTTGTGAGGTAATGTGATGCGATGTGAGGAGATGTGACGTAATGATTATGTGATATATTGATTTTGTGATGTAATGATTGTGTGTTTTCGTGAATCATTATGTGATGTAATGATTATATCATGTAATGACTATGTGATGTAGTCATTATGTAATTCAAGGATTATGCTATGTAATGATTATGCAGTGTAGTCTAATGCGATGAAGCTGAGGTAATGTAATGTACTGAAGCGTAGTGTAGTGTAGTGCAGAGTATGCATACGTATAAATATATGTATATATTATGTATATACTTGTGGTAGAAGTATATTTTCATGTACTTGTTCAACATGTGGTGATGTGTATGTATGTATGTATGTACGTACGTACGTACGTATGTATGTACGTACGTACGTATGTATGTACGTACGTACGTATGTATGTATATACAGTACAAAATAGTGATTCCAAGAAAAAACACAGAAAAAAGTACCAGTAATTCGTCACCACTTTTTTGAGGGGATGCACTTGATTTGTGATGTTTGCAACACGAATAGACCTATCTCCAGCAGAACTCTGTCGTCCAATTCCATTTACTCAACAATAGTACAAAATATTAATAAACAATATATAATAAACATATGTATTATATATATATTATATACCACATATATATATACATATCACATACGTAAAAAGATGTAAAAGATATGAGTCTTCGTTTTGAAGGTAGATAGATTCAGGATAGACCGTGACCTGCTTGAGATGCCCAGCAGAGCTACTCCTGGCAGCCAGCATTTTCTGGTTGTGTCTGGAAATGGTGAATGTTAATGGTTAATGTATGGTAAATAATGGTTTATCATGGTGGTATAACTATAACCATATATATATAATCTGAATAAATGAGAATGATTCACAAACCTGAAAAATCTGAGCATGTGGGGAGAGTTACCGCAAAGAAAACCCATCATCATACGGCGTCGCAGTGAGGTCGGTCTAATTCAGCCAGAATGATGATAAACAATGGGATTGGGGGGATCTTTCGCTAAATTTTCAGACAAACTCTAATATGCAAACCTCTCAGAATGGAAAGAATGCGGGAGGTTTTGTGGCAAAACTCTAGACTTGATGATTTCAGATCTTTTTTTTACGGCAATAGGACAATTCATATCTGGACTTGTTTCACAATATCTGGAAACCACGGGTTGCCTGTGTATCATCCAAAGCTCTATTCGCTTAAACTATATAATATACAGTAAATACAGTGTAGCTACAGTATGTAGTATGGAAATCCTGCAGAGAAGAATACAGGAAGGAATACATCTGTAAACTGTACTGTAGTATTCATCACCCAACCAATCTGATGATATCTCATGAAGATAGCTAGCTGTGTGAGCCTGCCGTTGCAGAAGGAGAGTAAGAAAATGGGCTAGTACATCAAACATCAAGTCGAGCGAGCTGGAACATGTACCATTGATGATATCATTATCATTGTAATATCAAAATTACTGATAATGCTGAAACCAGTATGATACCGGAATATGTACTCAATCAAAATGCTGGCTGTCTGAAAATTGATGGTACGCCTAATTCCATTGACATCAATTGACATCCATGATCACTATCCCCATTGACTAGTGGCCATTCAGACACGACAGGTATCGACAGGGTATCGTCCTGGGTGGCTGTGGCCCATGGTGTTTGAAGGCTTCATTGTAGGTCGTCCTGGGCGATATTTCTACCAGGTTAAAGGCCCCATAGTCACTACCAGAGTTTATGGCTTTATGGTGATGATCAAACGGTAAAAGAAGGATCCTAAATATCCTAAATAACCATCTAAGTGACACCACCTTGTAGATTGCTTAAAAAACTGGCTAACGATTGGATTTCATGTGGATAGATAGATCTACAGTCAGTTGGATGGGTTTATAGAGCGATTTATAAGTTGACTCCATTTTGAGGGCCATGGCTTCTCAGATGGAAGTCTCTTTCTGGAAACGTCTGGAGACCCCCTTCATGTGAGACTATCCCAGGTGTTTGTTCGGTTTAAGGGAAACCAAATGTTATGAACAAATGTCAGAAACCACATAGGTTTTCAAAACCAAACAGCTTTTCTGAAATGTTGGTAATCACAATGTTATATGTTTTTACAATTTCTGGTAATGTTCCGTGAACATATATATATTATATATAACCAACGAATGAATATAACAATGTTCAATGCATGTAATATGTTATATATATATATCATATATTATAATACATATACCCTCTGGTAATTTAACGTAGCTATTGAAAATGACCATTAATAGTAAGTTTTCCAATTAAAAATGGTGGATCTTTCAATAGCTATGTTAGTTTACCAGAGGGTATATATTCATGGTTCATGTCTGTTGTATATAAAGGTATCACCAAAAATGTCATCCCCAAAGCCCAACGTCTTTTTTTCGTCCCACCTGGAGGTGGATGCCTCCAAACGAGCCAAGGCCTCCGTTTCTTTTTCGATATCCCAGGGATGATCTGTATGGGACCCATATGGAATATATATATAGTTGATATATTAAATAGATATAAAACATCTATGGTTCTGGTTAGCATGGTTGATATGTTAGTTGATGTATAGTTGATCTTTGTTATATATATATAACATCAACTGTATTAGCTATGGTTGATTTATATATATATACATATATATACATATATATATATAGTTAAATTTATCTAAGATATCTCCGGGATGTATTAATGATGTATAGATATGTGAATATATATATATCAACTATATATTGTCATTATACATCCCAAAAAATGGTCGATAGGTGAGATCTACGAACACCTATTATATGTACTGTAAACGTATAGTTCCTATCAATATGTATGATATAAAGATGAACTAACATCTGAAATGTCCAACATTTCATGGGAACTAAATAAATGTGTATTTTTATATATATATATATGTGTATATTATGAGATCTACAACCATCTGTATATGTAACTACTCTACTATCCAGACATAGAGTTTGGATGTGCGCATGACGAAACACAATTTGAATTGCCTGGAACAAACTCAAAGCTTTAGCTAGGTCAATGATGATTCTGAAATCGCAAAAAATGAAAGGTTTCAACAGTTGTCCTAAACAGTCCTAAACTATCCACTTAGAAACAGATAGAGGTTTCAAGCGTGATGATTTCCTTCCAATTCTGCGAATAGGGAAGGATGATGGTAAACACACGCTACGAACTGATGGTACATTCAGAACCGACATTGACCAGCAGAATGGGGGGCTCAAATCATCCGTAAGGCTCATCAGCCTCATGCAAATGGCTAGGATATGTCTACATATTCTACTTCAATTGCGCATGAACTAGTTATTTATGAACCATGCGTAACCTGACCGATGAACCCCTGGTAGAAGCAAATCACTCAGTGCGAAATATCGCACATCTGCCGAAGCATAGATCCTACCTAACATCAAGATTCCGGTGACAAAAAGTATTACCTTTTCAGGACTTTTGGTGATATCCTATACCCCCTGGTAAATTAACATAGCTATTGAAAATCACCATGTTTAATGGGAAAATCCACTATAAATGGTCATTTTCCATAGCTACGTTAAATTACCAGAGGGTATATCCCATTAAATCCCATTAAATCCCATTAAATCCCATTAAACCACCATTTTCCTATGGTTTTCCTATGGTTTTCCTATGGTTTTCCTATGGTTACAATTACACAATTACACAATGTGATACTGGATCCATAGCTAAATCGTTCCGGCGCCTCGGATTCCTCTGGTCATGATGAAATCCACGAGTTTAGCCGTGGATGTTCACTTCATGGTTGACAATACCCTCTGGTTATGTCAACATAGCTATTGAAAATGGCCATAGAAATAGTGGATTTTCCCATTAAAAATGGTGGATCTTTCCATAGTTATGTTAGTTTACCAGAGGGTAATCCAACTATCCACTCGTAAATCCACTCTGAGACTGGTTACTCTTCATGATCTTCATGGTTAATATATGTTAATATCCTTAAATCCAACAACTATGTTCACATCACAGGTTTTTTAGGTCCAACAATCCAACTATCGACTCAAATTCCACTCTGAGACTGATTAAACTATGTTCTGGTTGGTGGTATACCTACCCCTCTGAAAAATATGAAAGTGAGTTGGGATGATTATTCCCAATATATGGAAAAATAAAAAATGTGCCAAACCACCAACCAGATATACAATTAAGCCCATTACCCTCTGATAATCAAAGACATCAAAGATGGGAAATCCATTCCACCGAAAAAAAAAAAGGCTTCAAACCACCAACCAGATCACCATCATATTCCCATTGTTGGTTTATAGCCTATAAACATCTATAAACCACTATTAATCAGTTCCAAACCACTATTGAACCATATATTCATCAGTGTTCAAGTCATGTCAAATCCCTTTTTTTCGCTGGATATGATGGGAACGCATCGCGATCCACCGATCCACGGCCTCCATGGTCTTCTCCGGAATGGCCTGTCCTGGCCTGGTGCGTTCGATGTTTGGCGGCGATGTTTTTCAAACTGCTGGTCCCATCCATTCAGAATGGGATATTTTGTGGGATTCAACTGATGAACAAGCCATGGAATCCATGAGGATTTCAACCTCAAATATGGTGATTTATGGTGATAATGTATGAAAATCTGGGATAAAAAACTGATGAACAAGCCATGGAAAATGATGGAATCCATGAGGATTGAAAAACCTCATTTTCATGGTGATTGAATCATCAAATATGGTGATTTAAGCATCAAAAGCAGGGATGGAACTCGTAAAAAAAAAGTGATTGATCATGATTTTTATCCCCCAAAAAACAGTGCATATTTATCATATGTGTATACTATGCGTATACTATACGTATGATTTCATAATATTTCATATGTGTCTGCTATGTATATATTATAGTATATATATATATCATTATAATTATATATATTATATATATATATATATCATTATATATCTTATTTACTGTATATGGCTCCACCCCTCCCCATCTGGGCTGGCGGCTGGACGATCCAGTTGCTCAATCGGCCCGGCATGGTCCAAGGGTGCGAGGAAGCGTGCGTCTGATTGAAATTATCGAAGAATCCACCATTATCAACCATTATCCACCATTATCAACCATTATTAACCATTATTAACCCATTATCAGTTATAAGTAACAGTTTTCACTCCATTCAAACATGGTGCTTGAAGTATCCATATCTCGAGACGAAGCCGAATGTGTTGAATTTGTTGAGCTGGATTTTGGCATGTCCCTGCAAACAAAAAATTATCTGTTCATGCGTAGTGCAGCTTGTGTGTTTTTGTAAAGGAGGCCAACGGCCACATGAATCTTAATTGGAAGTCTTTAAATACATCAGGTGGAATACATATTGACATGCATTGAACATTGAGGAGTTGGAGAAACAGGAGGTGTTCAATATTTTTTCTTTCGCACACATTAGATTTTTGCGCTTGACCAGACCATGTGGGTCATGTCTTCATTTTCTCGCTCAACATGCTGCAGGGGACAGATCGTGCAGGTCTATATCTACAAAAATGAAGAAAAAAAGCAAAGAGGCAGGAATAGATCCAAGATATAGATCCAAGATATATAATGATATATAATGATATATATAATTACATATAATTACATATAATTACATATAATTACATATAATTACATATATCATCATATATCTGGATCAATTTTGGAATTCACCTGAAAACTGTGACAATTGTGGGATAATCCCCCATCATTTCCAACATTTACAGTGACGTCGCAGTGAGGTCGCAAAATGCACAACGCAGGATGTACAGTATATGGATCACCAACAAAACTGAAGATATGATCAAAAATAGGTCGGAAAAAATGCGCTTTTTCACATGCGCAAGCCTTAGTAAGTTAGCATGGAAAGTCATGGAAAACAATACACAGTTCGTGTAGATCGTTTCCTGGCGATGGCTGCCATGGCTTTTCCCGTGGCTTTTCCACATGGTAAAATGGACCCCAATTTTTGCACATCTACACGTGACACCCTCGAAATTCAAGGTGAAAGCTCCGAAAAGTCTATGCCATCTATGGTAAATCGAGAGTTTGCTATGGGAAATGGATGGAAATGGCCCATGAAAATATAGATATTTTGTAGCGGATTTACGGTACATCTCATGACTTTTGGTGGCCCATCGCTCGGCTGCGGCTCCACCATTATCAATGGAGGTGTTGTAGGCATATTATCTATAGATAATGGAAGATTACGGAAGATTATCTATGATTCTAAATGGGGGATTTTTGTGAGATGATAAATGGGGGATTTTTGTGGTCGTGAGTTGTCCAGCCATGGAACTGATTATAGAATAGACTTACCCTCTGGTGAACTAACATAGCAATGGAAAATGGCCATTTATAGTGGATTTTCCCATGAAAAATGGTGGATCTTTCCATTGCTATGTTAATTCACCAGAGGGTATTACTGGAGGGTATCTATCCTCTGTGATCTCTATACTGCTACAGTAGACTTGATGCTGTGGCTTGCCAGAAATCCCCCAGAAATCGGGGGATTTTTCACCGCCACAGCATCCGAAAGGCCTGATGCTGGGGTACCGCCAGTGGCCGCGGTAGTACCCTCTGGTACCCAGGATCCTGCCGATATGGGGAGAGGCCTGACCATCTCGCCAAGATATACCTGGATATACCTGTTCTCAGAGAAAAAAACATGGAAAAACCGTGAAGGGATGGACAACACCAAGAGACTAGGGAGCCACTGCGATGCAGAAACTGAAGGATGAGAATGAGGGAATGAGGGAAAAATCGAAGAACAAACCAGAAAAAACAGGAATAAACATGAGACATCATGAGACCATCTTCAGCCCAGATTTTCTCGCGGCTTTGACCCTTTGTGCTGGAATAAGCATGGAGCTGCTACCTTTCAAACCACTCAACAGCTTAGCTGAGAAAGGTTGTCAGGACAAGCCCCATTTTCCAGAAGATATGGCTGAAAGCAAAAGGCGTGGAACAAAGCAAAAACTTGGTGCCAACTTGAAGCAAACAACCTCTTATTGTCTTTCACCAGGAAAATGTGAGCTTACTACTCTTCTCAAAATCCAGGCGGCAGTCTTGAAAATGTCGGAAGCATCCGAAAAAGAGCAGCAGTAGCATGCTCACTGCCACATCTGAATTCAAAAATCGGCACGTTTCGACTTTGCCCCTTGGGCAAATGTTACTCACCCGAGTCACAGCAAGGCCACCTGAGCAGTATTCGAAACCCGAAACGGCATTCAATGGAATAACGGTTGGTTAACAAGGGGTGCCTTTTCATAGATTAGATACAACAATCCCTCATATATTGGGTAGTATAAACCCCTGTAATCATCAACAGGGGGTTTGAACTCTACTCACATGTTTTTGCAGGGCCGTGTAGATTACCAGAATGTATCTATGATAGGACCGGACAACATAGTGAATCTCTTAAAATAGCCTTAAATGGGAAACATAGAAGGGTCGGGTGCATGCCGTTTCACCAGGTTTTTTTACGGAATGGGTGTGAAATATGGCGGCTGGGTCCCCAGCAAACCCCTTGCCTACTCACCTTTCTAGCCATCCCCATGTAGTTTCGCTTGTGATATTCAATTCTTCTTGGTGAAATCCCCGCATCTCCGTATCTGGTTGCGGAAAAATTCCCAAAGTCTCCCGATTTCTGTGGGTTAAGATACGGGTCTGAAATAGGCTACCCCAAAGTCCCACGGTTTATCATCAATTTACCAAAGAGAATAGCCATAAACTGTGTTATCCTCCATTTTTCAGACACACCAATCATATCTTAAGTTGGTTCTATATCCCATTGCCATATCCCCAATACCCATTAAATCAGGCGTGTTTTCTTGGTGAATTCCGCCTTTGATCTATTGGTTCATCCCTGAAATCCCTATCCTTCCGAGGTGACACCAATTTCGATAGCTCAGATGCCAGCCTCTACCTTTCGCTACTCAAACCTCTGCGTAACTTTTTCAGGCGCGGAAAGGTGGAAATGGAAATGGAGGGGATGATGAGAATGACCGGATTGATTTGCGAATGTGGTGAATTTGCTGCCGGTTTGGATTTGGTAGCTTTGGTGACCCAAATAAAATCAAACATCCTTTAAAAAATGACCATGTTCCATGAAAAAATCATGGTTCAACCACGATTCAGCAGGGTTCCATGGCTAATGTTCGATGCTTCACAACAATCAGAGAGCAGGACAGCATATTCCTTCATGATCCTTCATCCTTCATGTATGGTTTAAAAATGAACCGCAAAGCCCCCGTAAACCTACAGGATGGCGCCCCCAAGATGGCTAAAAGGCCAGAAAAAAGTGGCTGAATTCTATGGTTTATGGTAGATATAACGAACTATAGTTAATGGGGACTATTTCATGGTTTATAAACCAACAAACATTATAACTGGGGGGGCCCATCCTGTTGTCTAACCAATAAATTTGCCCTGTTGTCTAACGTGTCCATCCTGGGTCTGAAAGTCGAGTACCCCAGAGTTACCATAGTTGATCATCCATTGATATACCCTCTGGTAATTTAACGTAGCTATGGAAAATCACCATTTTTTATGGAAAAATCCACTATAAATGGTGATTTTCCATAGCTATGTTAGTTTACCAGAGGGTAATATGATATAATCCCATAGTTGATCATCCATTGATATCCAAATTGCCACTTTTGAGTATCCCCAGTTTGGGAACGGAGATGTTCGTCAAGGAGCCCATTGATCAGCTTTACGATCTGCCTCGGTGGGTCAAAGCTTCAGGCTTAGGATTTAGGTCTGCCAGTTTGGAGATGCGTCCTCCTCTTCCTTCCTTCTCCTCCTCATCACCATCATCACCATCATCACCATCATCACCATCATCACCATCATCACCATCATCACCATCATCACCATCATCACCATCATCACTGCACCACTCCATCACTTCATCAATGCCAGCGAAATTGACAGTCACATCATCTCAACCTTTCCCAGAGATCGGTAGAGTTAGAGCAAGCCACCTAAGCCACCTACCACCAAGAACCAAGGTTCAAAGCCAGCAGTTCAAATCACAACCCCACTTGCTACCTGTCGCACCAAAGACATGCCAGTGTAAGAGGAAAATTCAAAAGTGTCATGGTTATCGTAAACCATCCTCAAAATCACCATTTTAATGCTTGGTAACTTGGTAACCATCAAAATCCATTGCTGGTTTATATATATATATAAACCATTGCTATCATCATAGATCGTGCAAAAATATTTTGCCATGCTTAGTGCAAAAATCTTTACCCCCAAAGTCCCTTAAATCTGACATCACTCCAATTCAAACAGCCATAGCTGACACGTGACTCTTGCGGGAAAACGCCACGCGACGCCACCTGGCGACGCGTATTTTTTTGGGGGGGTTTTGGTGCCATGGATAGATCTTAAGAATGATATATAGTATGTTTAATGTATTGTTTCATATGTTACAACTGTTTTATAAATGTCTAAGATAATAGGAATTATAAGTAGTTATAAGTCATGGCTATGTTGTTTACATCGAAAATGTTTGACGAATTATCGGCCAATGGTGATTAATTAGTTACTAGTACCAGCTGATGGCTGAGAGGAAATCCAAGTCAGTCTGCATCCCCATCCATGGTACACGAAAATACAAAGCCTTAAACTACCGAAATGGACTGTTCATTGCAATGCTTAAATTAAAAGTACAAAAGGGTAAGTTCAGAAATGTGGTACTTCAATTAAGCTATATGATGTCCATTCCATTAACTTATGTTTGATCATGTTATAATGTACATATATATATAAATACATCAAGCAATGGTTTAATATGGTTTAAGTAAGCTATGTATTAAGTTCAGTGCACGGATGCTAATTTCATTGAAAACGGGATGGGAAATGTTGCATTATTTTCCACAATTGCCAGCCATAGTTCACCCACTTGAACTCCTTTAACTCTCAGCGAAATATGTTGGCATGATTTGGGTGTGTCTTGATTTTTTTTTAGCCTCGAAATATCCCAAGTGACTGTGGAAGGTGATTCATCAGCAGTAGATTTGCTGTTCCCAGAATTTTCAGATCAATCCATAAACAGTTAAGATTTACCCTCTCGGAAACTAACAGTTTGCTATTGAAAATGGCCATAGAAATAGTTGATTTACCCATTAAACGTGGTGATTTTCCATAGTATGTAAACGTTTACCAGAGGGTAGGGATTTTCCCATCACTGGAAAGAAACAAGATTTATCCCAGAAAGACTCAACCATCAAAGTCCCACAGAACTCGGGGGTCGCTGAGTTCCCCGAACTGTAGAGTCACCTGAGAACTTGATTTGATGTTTGTGGTTTGAAGATGGTTTGTCTTAGAGACCATGCAAAAAGAAATGTACATGTTTAGCTGGTAAAGTTCATCTTTTGAGATATGATATTATATATATATTATATGATATTATATGATATGATATGATATGATATATCCCCAATCTTGTCAAATGATCAAAGTAATTACTAAACCAAGTCATGCCATTTCCTAGCCCTGTACTGGGTTTGTTAGGGCTGAGGCAAGTGTAAGTCAGCTTACAAGTAGCATGGCATCAGCATTGCGTGCAAGTGCAAATGAACTTTCAAATAGCGGAGCATCAGTGATGTGTGCAACATCAACTGAACGTTATTGCCCCCCGCCTCACCCCACCACCTTCACCCATCAATTCACCCATCAACCCTTCCCCAAGGTACAGTAGCATGATTGCAGTGTCCAACAGCAAAATAGCACGCCATCCACAGTCCCCAGAGCACGACGTTAGAAACTACCCGTACAAGGCTTATCGAGTGAACCAATCTCAATTTGATTCAACAAAAAGTGCCAGAGACCCGTGTTGCCCTGATGTTTAAGCCATTTTTGTCTGAGAATGATGGTTGAAAAAAAAACATAGTTTATCATGAATCATGATGTTCTCCTTTAACAAAAGCCATAAGTTGGGGCGTCCTCCATTTGCTGGCAGACCCTAGTGTATCATATCAAGCTGGTGAAATATCTCTGCATACCTCAGATAGATCCCACTAAATCACTGTGTTTACTGCTCAAAAATTCGTATCCTTCTGAAGTCAAATGCCCAATGCTTTATCATTATTTTCCCAACAAAACTTATGTATCCTCAAATGGATCCCCGAATCACCATAGGTTTCAATACTAAGCCATATAAGTCATGGTCTAATGACTTGGGATGATTTTTTGGGGTACCCCTATTTTAGGAATACCCCAATTAAAATAGGATATATATTCATATCAGCCATGAATTTCCCAAGTTTTTTAATGGGGATTGGAATAGGGAACCCTCCATGAGACCCCAATATTTCCAGCCATGAATTGGGGATATCTTCGAAGTCTCCTCCATGAGACCAAGTTGGATGGCCAAAAGACAGGAGCTGCGCTTGTCGGGGATGTCATCCGTGCACACCTGTGCGCTGAAATTTCTAACCCAGTGCACTAGCCAACTTGCTTGAAATCAGTAGATCAAGTGCCAGGTTGATGGTAGATATAGCATATCTATTGATATACACATTTTACAAACAAACATAACTGGACGAAGCACAGGGGCACCACATTGCCGAATTGTCTGCCAAAATATCAGCGAAAATCACAAGAGTCCCCAGAAACTGAGAGTATGTTCACATGTTGGGGACGATTTCACTGAACTAAGCATGCAACAGAGTCGATCCACTATATCTGTAACATTCTGTAACATATGCAAAGCTGATTCTTGACACAATACAAGGATCCTTTGTATGATCCCGACCCTCTGGTAATTTAAGAGTTTGCCATGCAAAATCACCATTTATAATAGGCAAATCATCGATAAATGGGACACTTATAGCGTAGCAAACTGCTACAGTTGCTTGAGGGTATCTCCCAAATCGTCAAAAATGGTTCAATCAACTATAAACACATATCATATCATATATATATATATGGAGGTTTCCTGAACTAGGGGTACCCCTCTAAATCATCCATTTTTGTTTGGGATTGTCCATTATAAGCCATCCATTTTGGAGTATCCCCATTAATCATTAATGGAAACCCCCGCATATAGATGTATATAACTGGGTAATTTTTAATATTTCACCAACCTGAATTAAGGCCATAAAAGGGGATGATTCCCCTTACTAACTAAGATTATAGTGAGGGAGAACAGTGAGGTCGTTATAATTTATCCAGATGTATATATATATATATATGTATTCACTGACCAATATTAGGTAGTGTGTCAAAACCAATAGTACCCCTGTAGTTCACATCAAAATAGCTGGCAAATGGATGTAAACATCCCCCTAAAAATGGTATTAATAGGTATTGATCCATACCCATATCTCAAAGTTCAGTGGGAAACCATCGCCACCAGGGCACGCAAGGGTTGCTGGACTGCCAGTGACTGAGATTGGCCTCCAGCCGGGCCGAGATATTTCCCGAGATCGGCTGGGAGTCGTCTCAGGCGTTTTTTGGGGCCATGTTTGGGTCTGAAAATCAGGTCCCTGGCCTGGTAAACGTACAAAAAACGATGGAAAATCACCATGTTTAATGGGAAAATCACCATTGTTAATGGGAAAATCACCATTTTTAATGGGAAAATCACCATGTTCAATGGATAAATCCACTATTTCGACTGGGCCATGTTCGATAGCAAACCGTTAAATTACCAGAGGGTACTCCCAAATTTGATGATTTGATGATTTGATGATGATAATGATGGGCAAAATGATGATGGGATAATTTGATGGGATAGAAACTCATCAAAAATGGATTACCCTAGGTACTCATCAATAATAGTCCAGTGTGAAGCCATGTTTTCAGCTGAGAATTTGGGACACGCCCGGAGTCCGTGTCCACAGTTGTTTATGTTGATTGATTATGTTATGTCCTTCGATGTTTACTGATTGTATCCCCAGTCTTGATGGTCTGTCAGTGACTGAACTAAAAATGATTCCAATCCAAAAAAATCGGATTTCTTGGGGATTCCCAAGGAATCGCCGCGAAGATCAGACGAATTCTTTCCACTTCAAGCCTGCTGTTTGTCCTCCTCTGGTTCATCTTTTGACTATTTGGCATTGGATGCTTTGGGTCACTACCCGGAAAATTGGATGGTTCAGGTTCGCAAAACATTACCAGTCCCTTTGTGGCTCCCTTCTGACAGTTTAAACGATTTTCTCATTTCCTCATGGCTCTGGGCAAATATTCAAATCCTTGCTGTAGGGGCTACAGATTTGAGACCACGTTTCAATGTGAACTATCCCACAGTACACACAACTTGGCGCTGTCTGAACACAGGGAATATTTAATATATATATATATGTACATATCTACATATATGTATATATATATATGATTATATATATATACATACATAGATGTAGAGATGTACATATATATATGATTATATATATAATTATATATATATATGTGATTATATATATATGATTATATATATAATCACATATATATATGTATATATATATGTATGATTATATATATATGTATGATTATATATATATATATGATTATATATATATATTAGTATATATATATATTAGTACATATATATATAAGTATATATATATACATTAGTATATATATATATATATATTAGTACATATATATATATATATTAGTACATATATATATATATATATATATATATATTAGTATATATATATATATATTAGTATATATAATATATTAGTATATGGTTTCGAAAGTGGTCACGATCTGCCATTTTTGCCATGGCCAGAAGTTGCAGTATCCGCTGTTTCCCTCCTCAAATCTATCAAGCCTCCAGGCTGGTTTGGTAAATCATTCTCATTCGATATGAAATATAGCACCCAAAAAAAAGACAGAAAACGAAAATCCTGAAAAATCCTATACTTAAAAAGTGCTAAATTGAACCTGTTCTGTCTGGGGGAGTTGACTATCGATCCCAAAGTACCCCCAACGAATCGACAGCACCTCCAATCGATTCAGACAGTCGTTCAAGAATTCATCGCTGGTCACGAAAAAGTGCACCGCCTCCCAAGGGTCCCAAGATGCCGAAAATGTGTGACACCATGTGACACCGGGATATTGCAAATGATGTGTGTTTCATCATTTACCCTCTAGTTATTTAACATAGCCATGGTATAGATGGCCCATAGAAATAGATGGTTTACCGAACTTAAAAATGGTGATGTTCCATGGCTATGTTAAATAACTAGAGGGTAAACAGCTTTTCAACTCTTCTGACGATTCTATCTTTTTGGAGATTACTATAGGTTAAATTGATGCTTCTATGGTGGATAGATTGACATATATTTCATAGGGGGTTGTTTTAACAATCCTATAAATCAATATAAATCAATATAAATCAACATAAACCAACTTATGGCACCACCAAAAATACGGAATATCATTGATAGGTAACGAGGATCCCCCCAAACATAATGGGGGATAATGGGGGTTTGTCCCGTGACTAGTCCCTTTTTGAACCTGCCTAACTTTTTCATAGGAATATAGTTGGAATATCTATGGAAATACAAGCAGCCCATTGTCTACATTTATTCCATAGATATTCCATAGATATTCCATAGATATTCCATAGATATTCCCATATTTTCACTTAAGCAGCCCATAACTCATTTTTCTGGATGTGGTGAAGTTACAGCGACCCACCACCGCAGCAAAAATCATGGAGGTGACCTTGCTGGGGGATACCCAGCAAGAACAACCCTCTTACCTAGCCATGGTATTCTGGAATGTTCCTTGTTCCATATTGGATATATATATATAATTTCCATTAATTTCCTATAATGATTATTGGATGATTATTGGATATTACCCTCTGGTTATGACATTCACAGTTCGCCATGGTTTTTCGATGGCCCTAATCGAAATCGATGATTTTCCCAACGAAAGCTCCATTGATGGTTGGGATTTTCCATGGCGAACTGTTAGTCAGAACCAGATGGTAAATAATGTAGCCATTTGAATCCATTTGATCAGTTTCCCAGCACTATTTCATAATTTTCATAAATTCCTTCCAGTTGGGACCCTGTACTCTAACCATCTCGAAACCCTTACAATCCCATCCGGGACCCCCAAATGGAGAGATTCGAGACGAAATGGAGGTTTCTGACGGAATGTCTATTTAGTTTTGTGTCTTTATTATTAGAGGGAAGGGCCTACAACATCCAAAGTAGGGAATGAAACGTCAATGGGCCTCAGTAAGCCTGATAGAAATGTGTTTCCGGTGATGTGGACAGAAACACCAAGAAGCCTCAATGAAGTACGAAACGTCTGGATAGAACACCCGTGAAGCGTAACAAAGGTGTAAGTATACTGAAACAGTGGACATGACCGGAACCAACTCAAGCAAGTGTCCAAGGAAATTTGGATAATAAGAACAATCAGTTGGAACCACGAATCACCGTTAATCATACCACTGCGCAAGCCTTGTAGAGTGGAATCACTAAATGGTGAAGGAATCCAACCTGCGGCACTGCGCCCCAGAGTCAAACCTTGAGATGCCCAAGGCATCAAAAAAACATGAGTTGGTGAGGTGAATACATATCCCCATGTATAACCAAAAATGACCTTTTGGTAATTTAAAATACAGATAGCTATGGATAATCACCATGTTTTAACAGGATTCATTAGGTAAATCATTGAACTGGGCCATCTATATCATAGCAACCTTTCAACTCCCACTGGACCCAGTTCAAAGTCATCAGTGTCAAGGCACATGACCAAAGATCCTGTTGGTTACTAAGCAGCGTTGGCTGCAGGCGGCAGGTTAATGCTAATCACGCTAGTTGTTTCATGTTGTTCCATATCAGAAACCACCAAAGATCAAGACTTGAAACCTGCCACACACGGTAATTACGCCCATATGTAGTTCGATTTTGACCGACTAAACACCAAAAAAAAACGGATGGCCTGGGACCCGGCCACGTTTACCTGCAGGGCTCGAGTTCACCCAATTTAGATTTGTGATCCGAGAAAGTATGGGTGTGGTGCGAACATGTGGGTGAAAAATATCTATGAAAAAAATACTTTACTTCGTGTGATCCCCACCATGACATTTATACATTTCCTTACTGGCATTCTATCTGACATATCTTCTGACATTCTATTTGGCATTCTATCTGGCATATCTTCTGGCATATGTTCTGGCATATCTGGCATATCTTCTGGCATTCTATCTGGCAAATCTTCTGGCATTCTATCTGGCATTTCTTCTGGCATTCTATCTGACATATCTTCTGGCATTCTATCTGGCATTCTATCTGGCATATCTATCTGGCATATCTTCTGGCATACCTTCTGGCATTCTATCTGGCAAATCTTCTGGCATTCTATCTGACATTCTATCTGATCTGGCATATCTTCTGGCATATTATCTGGCAAATCTTCTGGGATTCTATCTGCATTCTATTTGGCATACCTTCTGGCATTCTATATGGCATATCTTCTGGCATTCTATCTGGTATATCTTCTGCCATTCTATCTGGCATATCTTCTGGCATTCTATCTGGCATATCTCATGGCATTTTATCTGGCATATCTTCTGACATTCTATCTGGCATATCTTCTGACATTCTTTCTGGCATATCTTCTGACATTCTATCTGGCATATCTTCTGATTCTTTGTGACATTCTTTCTGGCATTCTATCTGGCATATCTTCTGACATTCTATCTGACATCTTTTCTCACATTCTTCCCGTTGAGGTCCGGCAGTGCCCACTGCGATCTGGAAGTCGCGGTTGAGGTCCGGCAGTGCCCACTGCGATCTGGAAGTCGCGGTTGAGGTCCGGCAGTGCCCACTGGAATCTGGAGCTCGCGGTTGAGGTCCGGCAGTGCCCACTGCGATCTGCAACTCGCGGTTGAGGTCCGGCAGTGCCCACTGGGATCTGGAGCTCGCGGTGGAGGTCCGGCAGTGCCCACTGGGATCTGGAGCTCGCGGTGGAGGTCCGGCTGTGCCCACTGGGATCTGGACTGCGAGGAGGAGGCGGCGGGTGAGGAGGCGGAGGAGGCAGAGGAGGCGGAGGAGGCGGAGGAGGAGGAGGAGAACAGCTCTGATAAAATCTAACAACCCTCACCTGGCAGGTGGGGAAAAACATCATTTTCTGAACACGTCTGGAAATGTGGGTGAAAAAACACTGCTCTCATGGCATCGTAAAATGTTTGACATGAATTGGGGGATCCCCTCGCTTTGGGGATCAATAATTTCAGCGCCAAACCATCCAGATATCATTTGTTGTTGTAAAACCATCCAGTTTGGTTTATATGGGTTTGTCTGAAAATGGTATACCCAAAAATTATCCCGGCAAGAGACCCCAAACAGCGTGGGGGGAGTAAAAGGATAATGTATCAGAATGTTGATGATGATGTTAAATTAATGCTGAAGACAATGTTGATGATTATGGTGATGGTGATGATAGTGATAATGACGATGATGATGATGAGGAGGAGGAGGGGGGAGGATGGTGGTGATGACGATGATGGTGGTGATGAGGAGGATGATGATGAGCATGATGATGATCATGATGATGATGATGATGCTGATGATGATGATGATGATAATGATGATGATGATGGTGATGATGATGATGAGGAGGAGGAGGAGGGGGAGGATGGTGATGATGATGATGGTGATGATGATGGTGATGATGATGATGATGAAGAAGAAGAAGAAGATGATGATACAAGGAAAATGATGATGCAAGGAAGATGATGAGGTTGATGTGGAAGAGGAGGAAGATGATGAGGAGGAAGACCGATCCCAAGACCGGGAAGCACACTTTGTGCGAGCCTGCGCAGGCGACATGCGCATGGACATTTCACCAGAGCCATTTTGTATAGGAATTTACCGGCAAAATGGCCGCGGGCGCCTCCGGGAACATCGTTTTGTGCGTGTCTGCGCAGTCGAAATGCACATGGACAGAGTACAGGAGCAATTTTGTATGGAAATTTACCAAAAACAACCCGGGACACCTCCGGGGACATCGTTTTGTGCGAGCCTGCGCAGTCGAAATGGACATCGACATTTCACAAGAGCCATTTTGTGTTGAAATTTACCGGGAAAATGCCAAACGCCCCAGAGACCACCTCCATTAAACACTGGGCCTTAACACCTACCGTAAGAACCCCTCAGTGTGGCCACACTGTTTGGGGTAATAGGGAAATCGATGATAAACTAGTGGATTTGGGGATCCCAAATTTTCAGACAAGCCAATGTATGTTTGAGCCAATCTCATCAATATCGAACATGAGTCCTTGATGAGACCTTGGCATCGCGGAGAAAGTCCCATGCGACTCATGTCCTCTATTCGAGTATCCTTGAAACGTTTGTTTGGGAGGGAATTCCATGATGGAAAAGCAAATTGGAAAATTGAGAATTGTCACCGGTTCCCCAATTCTCTTTTTCTTCTGCCCATGTCAGTTGTCGAAGCCTATGGAAAGACCCCTAGCCCAAAGACCAGCAAAATGCAACTCGAGAACATTAAAACAGAATGAACAAGTGCACCTACAGCCTACAGCCACAGAGTCTGAGGATTCTGAAGCTTACCGCGGCCCAGCCATTCAGCCATGTAAATGACCAGTGGTTGCAACAAACCCCGTGGAAAAGAAAAGGTTATCACATGGGAAGTGGCTTGCCAGGGATGGAATAAGAAACACAAGGTTGTTCCTGGTGTTCCTCAAAATTGGCCAAACATATCCAAAAATCCTTCGTTTCTCATTGAAAATGACCAATCGGATGATGACTTGGCGGGTCACCTCGTTCCGGTCGCACAGTGGGGAGATAGGAAGGCCCAACCTCACACATCCAGCCAAGCAAGGGAACTTCCTCATCACAAAACATGGTAAAAACGGGGTTTCAACTACACTTGACAAGTTTGAAATACAAGTTGAATGGGTTTTTAGGGGGCAGTAGTAGCTGAAATCTTTTTGTCACTGGCTTTGTCGTGTGAGGTTGCAACATATTGCCCAGATCATGGCGTGGAATGGCAAGTCCCTCCACCGAAATCAGGTTTCTTCAGGGGTACTCCAAGACAAAATGGGCGGCTCGACTGCGAATCTATATGGGCTTGGCGGCTTGTCATTTGGTCGAAATAGACCTGCCCTGGGGGGAATTGGTAGTACCCAAGTGTTGATTTGTTGTGGAAAGGTCGAGTCAAGCGGTGTGGATGAAAGTCTACATGGAAACCACAGATTGGC